TGAGACTGACAGATGCCTAACATCACCGTGGCATTCCGTGAGGTGACCTGATTTGAATCGACATGTACTATTCGGTAATGACAAGAAACAGATGAGTGGCACGCATACACGTATATATATATTTATTTATTTAATATGTAAAAGTCGATTTGCGTTCAAAGGATAGAAACAAACATAAATGATTTTAAAAAGCGGAAATAGGTTAAAACGTTTCAGTTAAAGATTAAAGTCGTATTTACAAAGATACAGATACCTTAGATCCAGCCAAATGTTGGCGCGGTGACAAAATTGATAAGTTTTCTCGAAAATCGATTCTGGCATAGTTTACAATCTTTTAAAGAGATGTTTTATTTTTGTTTTATAATTTTCATAGGTACTATAAATTGAGTATAAATCTGCGGGATTTCAACGATAAATAAAACATATATAGTTGACTAATGAGTGGCATGAACTGATAAAATAATTAATATGGGTTGGTGGAAACATTTGGGATATTTAAAACTTGCATTACTTTGTTGTCGCTTCCTTAATTTCTAGAGCATTATCAATTAAATCTGGATAATGTGCTAATAATGCTCTTGGAAAAAAGAGGGAAACGTCAACAAGATAAAAATTTTAAAGCAGCCAACTGGTTTTCAAAAACAGAGAATGTCTCATATCGAGAATATTTAACATTGAAAAACAAAATCCACATTACAACCAAGAATGTTTGCGGCGCCTCTCTTCTCTTTTTTAATATACATACTTTTCTCTCGTTGGAACCACTACAACCTCTTTCTTTTCTATATATATATATATATATATATATATATATATATATATATATATATATATATATATATATATATATATATATATATATATATATATATATATACAAATATATAATTTTATAACATATTTATGTTATAAATTTTTATTCTATTTTCTTTTATAAATAATAATTATATATATATATATATATATATATATATATATATATATAAAACAAAAAGGTAAACTATTCTTTACCCATGCGTTTCGCCCTCTGAGAAGGAAATTTTTTTTTTTATCAACATCTGAATATTTACGAAAACATATATGCATATAAAATGGAGTATATATGTAATTGTATACATGTATGTGTGTTTGTATTTTTCGTATTTATAAGATAGAATATATAAGTATATACTAGTGTGTAAATTTATCTCTGTGTGTTTTCACGTATTCAGTCTTTTCCAAATTTCTGTCTAAGTGTATTGCGTCATGGTGCACTTTTTCTCACAGAGGTTGCCTAACTGATTCTACCTTACTGTGCAGTCGACAAAATCAAAAACACACAACGCGCAGGCGCTAAATTAAAAGTATAAAATGGCGACAATCGCACCGAGGACTTGTGTTAGGTCAGTTTGTGTTAGACAAAACATTGTGTAAGCAACCGTTGAAATGTACTGGTAGTTCACCGTAATACAATCTGAAAACAATTCTGGATTATTAAATGCCTGTCTGATTAGGATAGAAAATGATTCACTAAGTGCGCTAATCTCTCAATACTCGACAATAAGCACAAAATCAAGACTATACATAATGTCACTGATAATCGCAAAGCAATAGTAGAACAATGCGAGCTAATAGAAAAAAAGAATGATCTCCTGGAAGTGGGCCGATTTAAAACGTCTCCAATATAGAGGTCTGATAAAAAAAATGTTTCGGGACTGTGGCTATACTATCGGAGCTAAAGTACGCAGAGTGAAGCTGCTTGTGACAGATTTGAGCTTGATGAATACGAAATTATAACGTTCTTGCTCACTTGTTTATAGCAGTGCTTGAAAGGAAAGCGTGTCGACACTAGAGATTCTATCAATGACTATGAGTTGTACAGCAGTTTATGGCTATGCACAGCATTCCCCAGGTCCGACAGCCACCATATCCCCCAGATCTCACTCTTTGCGACTTTTTCCTTTTTATATAATCAAATTCCACTTTAAAGGAGCAAAATCTCAAGACATCACGGAAATTCAATAGAATGCGACGAGGCAATTGCTCGCTTTTCCAAAAATGGGTCCCATCAATGTAAACGACGTTGGGTAAAGTGTTTGATTTCAAAAAGGAACTACTTCAAAAGAGATTAAATGAATAATTGATAAATGCTGGAGTTTTATTTTTTCTAGTAGCAGTCTCCAAAATCTTTCTTTAAAAACAGTTGTTATATTCCCAAGTACTTTCAATCTCATCAGAGACTATCTTGATTAAATTGTCTGTGAATGTGTATATGTTTTCTGCAAATTCAATATATTTCAAATGTTCGTTTTACTGCGTTATGAAGCGTTCTAGATTTCAAAATTCACATGTTTTTCCACAGTATATGGGACGTCATTTTTTTTTTTTTCATTTATTTATTTATTATTTTTTCTCATATATATATATATATATATATATATATATATATATATATATATATATGAACTTTGTTGATATACTCATAATTGGCTTTTTATTTATTTGGGGCTTTAATTCTTTTTATATAATGGGTTTCTAGAATTTTAATTTTTGTTTATTATAATTTTTATGTAATATAGATGTCTTTTCAACTAATATCTGTCTAAACTGTGAGTGTGTGCTTGAGTCTTCCTTTCAATGCTGTGATATTGAACTATGCTCATTCAAATGGAATGTAAGCGTTTTTGTCAGCATTGTCATACTAAAGCCGTATTAACAATTTTATCAGAGATGCAATCTCCTAATGGGCATTTAAATTGATATACAATGTTGGCCTTTTGTAAGATGCTAGTTGACTGAAATTGATTGTTTTAGACAAATAGGCTGGTTATATTAAATTTAGTGTATTATATAATTAATTTTATTTTCTTTTTACTTAGTTCAGTGTGGGATATATTAGTGTTAGTGAGTTGTTTTTTGTTTTTTTGTTTTTTGTTTTTTTAGATTTTTTTTAGTTAGAATGCATTTGATTACAGTGTAGTAATTTGCTATGTTCAGAGTTATTTGATGATGTATTGTATTCATTTTTATTTAGGTTAATATTCCTAATAACTCGTCTAATTTGTTCATCAAAAATATAATTCGGAAAGTCATTATTAATGAGGGTTTGTTTATTTATTTTTAATTCAGTGTAGAAAATCTTTCTTGTTGAAGAATTTGATTTTTGCACGATTTATTAAGTGTCGTATAAAAGCCATTTTGTAATAAGACATCTACTTTTAGGTTTGAGAGTGGAAGTGTTTAGACTAGTTGTTTTTTGTTTTTTTTTTTTGTTTTTGTTTTTTTTTCATAAGGAGAGGTAATAAATGTATTATAATTATTACTGTCTATCATTACCTTATGAAACGGGATTTTTCTCTTTGTTATATACATATGTGAACTTAAGGATGGTGTTTTTTTTTAAGTTATCTTGTAGTTCATACAGTATAGTTTGTATCAGACTGCATTAACTATCTGGCCATAGATTATGAAATTCCCGAGCAGAATAAATTTTTCATTTCAGAACATAGCTGCCATTACTTTCTTCACTAAACTTTGAATTTTTTGTGTAGTTGGTAACAATGGACGATTTCAAGTCATAGAATCAAATATTGTTTCGAAAGTATAATTATATTTTTTTAATCATGTCACTCTAAGAAAGGCGATAATGCGACAAAGACACGAGGAGAGAGTAAAAGAATGAAAGGACTTTAATAAGGAAAAAGGACAGTAAAAGAACAATTCTCAGGAAGACAGCAAACGGCGATTGGTGTTGTATTTAATTTTTAGACCATTGTAGGTAGCAGGGGAAGCAGGAAACTTGAATGGTGTTCCACGGGCGAGAAGTACGAGAAAGACTATTAGAATAGAACATTCGGCTGCATCTAGTTAATTCAACAGTGAGACCTAGTTGCCAATCTAGTAGCACGCTTAAATTCATGCAGTCGGTGCCTCAAGGACATTTCATTAGAACAAACCTTCAGAGAGAGAGAAGCCGCGACACGTTGATTGGTAAAAGACTGAAGTCGAGATGACAGACCCATCTTTGAATTTTGTCAAGTATCTCTAGAATATATAGTAACATCAGCAGACCAGATATGGCCACAGTATTTAATGCACGGAAGAATGGTACATTTATAAATGGGAATATTCCCATCTACCCACCACCTACAGACTGTTCCACGAGAAATGTCCATGCCTTAGGAGTTCTGTTTTACAGTCAATTACTTTAGAACCGAAAAGTTTTCTCCTTGTTTTGCAAAAATCTTATCACACCTTGCAGTCGCATATTTTATGGCGAGAGCTATTTTTTTTTTTGTTTTAACATCATGCGCTCAATATTAATGCTATTCTGGCTGTTACACCAAATATTGCATACCTCCCACCCGTTGTTTTGTGTTTAAGTCTTTCACAATGTTTTAAATCAAGTTGATTTATGCCTACCTATCTCATACATTTCTAATCCCGCTCGTGTAGATAGATAGATAGATAGATAGATAGATAGATAGATAGATAGATAGATAGATAGATGGGCACACAGAAAACTTCGCACAGTTGGACGAATATCATATAACTCAGACGGAGATGTCTGCAAGTTGTATATTTGATTGAAAACTAGTATCTGTTCATACATCTACCATAAATTCACTTTCATTTTTTACACACGTCACGACTGCGCTACCGATTCTCACACTTTATATTATATTTTTACATGGGTATAAGTTACGGAAGGAAATTCGTTTCCATGTATACCCATCTGCTAAGGTAGTTAGCCAATCCCTGCCGCAGACGCCTGCTGAGGCATATTTATTTTTATTCAAAATCAACAGAACCAACCTGTGGTGTATACTCTATTAAAGCCAAGCCGAACTTGGATACAGTCTCTGGGAGAGCGACAAGTACACTCATACGCTTGGTCACAATCATCTCACGGTTACCGAAGAGTTCCGTCTACCTAATTACGATCACAAGGCTTGAGGCTATAATTTTCTTCTCCTTCCCCATATGCAGATAATATGATAAGAAATTACCTCCTTGAAGGTTTACGGTCATATCACTTTGAAACACCGGTTCTCGTACGATCACCGATGTTAAGCAACGGCGAGCTTGTTTCGTACCTAGATGGGTGAACGCTTGGGAATACCAGGTGCTGAAAGTTTGGATTTGCGGGTGATGAAACGGATAATAGACCTGAAGTTTTAATCGCAGATCCGAAATCCAAATTCAGTTGGGTTCGTTATATTCACCTGCGCACAAACTACCTATGGAAAAGCCACCTCTTCTACCCCAGCGAGAGTTAAAATAATAAAACTTGTATCACTAAATCATTACTATCGCCATAAAAATTCTTAGAATGCAATAAAATTATTTGGTTTTATATCACCTGCAAAAGGTTGATAAGTTCTTAAAAAAGAATCAATGAAACAATCAATCGCTTCATTGAAAAATCACTGAGTTAGAATGGCCAGAACGCTAACGTTCTATCCTCTCAAGCAAATAGACATTGTACGTATTGGGAATAAGTAAAATAATATTTAAGAAAAAGGCTGAAATACTCAGAGATTAATAAATTCAGTCTTTTTGTAATCAAATCATTATTAAAAGGTAATAAACTCTCTTTAAATGTTTATGGCTTGGTGTACAGAGTAGTAGATTACTCGGGAGTTCTTGTTTTACTCGCAAGCAGTGTTCTGCAACGCGCATCTAGCCTTCACGTCAGATTGTAAAAATACCAGGGATGGGTCGATATGTTAAATAATAGTTTAGTTTTATTATTTTTAGGGAGAATTATATCTCTGCTGCGCACTTCCGGAAGTTGACCTTCGAGGTCAGATGCAAGCCAAAATAAGGAAGTTGATTTTTGATTGGCTGAGTTAGCATGGGAATGATAGATAGAGAAATGTTTTTAAAGATAGTTATTTCTTGACTGTCAATCTATGTAAACGTGTTCTCTTTTGTGTCAGAAACGGTTCCCCAGTGATGGAAAACGGCCCACACTGGATAGTACATGTTGACATTAATAAAATAGTTAATAATATCTGTGTTGATGTCATCCATCTCTGGACCCAAAACATTTCGCGATCCCGGTCGGGAGAAGACGAGAGAGAAAATGCAACATAGGCTCAAATTGGCGCCGTTAACCAGGAAATCCCAGCACAGGGGACGCGAAGAATCTGGGTTACAAAACAACGTAGACGACAAAGCGGATAATTTTTGACTATCCTCGTATAATGCAGAATAGAAACTAAAAATGTAGATCAGAAAGACAAATAAAATGAGACTTTCTGAAGATGGTACAATCTCCAAGCAAAAGAACTAGTCTCTTAAAAGAAATTATGCACATTAATAATCACAATATGGAAATGATTTTTTTTTCTGGATGCATATTTTGAATATAAATATATTATTCATTCGACGCTCGCTAACCGTTTATAGAAACCAAATATTAGACATGATCACGGTTAGGCAGCGGGAAATATGTTTTAAAAGTGGAGTTAGCAGTGTGAGTGACAAACATTCGGCGAGCCTACACAGTTCTCAACCAACAAAAGAAATATTCTTGCTTGTCGCTGAAGAAATTGCATGGCCAATGGAAGTGTCTATGTGCGAAAATAAAGATTGGCTCTAACCACACTGCCATGTATGTATTTTCTATAGAAATTGCCCAGATATGTCGTAAATTATCGGACTTGTATCTGAAAAAAAATATTGTTATCACCCAAAAATTGTTAGATGCAATATTCACTCTCAAAGACAATTATTCTTACAATCCAAAATATGGTTCGGAATTAAATAATCCGCAAAGTGTTGATAATCCGTAAAAAATCCATCTTTTAGACTGCCGTGATTAAAATGGTCAGATCGTACTCCAATTTGACCATAACTAGAAAAATATGGTAATTTGCTCTTCCAATGGCATTATTACGAAATGAAAGATGCAGAACTGGGTTGATAAGTCGTAAAAATGAAATCCACCAATTAATCCGTAGATACTGATTGAAATGATAGGAGGTATTAATTTCTGAACGCCCTTCGTTCCAGTTTTTGCAACTATTCCATGTGCAGACATTCTACTCATAGCGGATGGACGCGTCCATGTTTCAATAATAGGTGTAGAGAAGGTTAGTCAGCTTTTCTACAAAATACACACACAAGTTTTCGTGTGACGCATTTCGTCCAGTCGGACTTCATCGGATTAGGTTTACTACAAATGCGCATGAACGATACACGCTACGAATTTAAAATTTTGAATATATTTTTGAAATTGTTTTTAATAATGTTATATATATAGAGAGTTAAATTCCCAGATCAATTCTGTGGACAAGATAATATAAGATATATAAGATGACAATTGAAAAACAATCTTTGTTTTTGCCGACACATTTCGATTTCATTTATGCCTTGAAAAATTTGGATATATATATGAACATAACTCAAATTTTTCAAAAATGGTTTCAAAATTTAAAATTCACGGCGTCTATCGTTTACGCTCTTGTGTAGCCGCATCAACGTACATATATATATATACATAAGATCTGTGTGTTTATGCATATTCGTGCATATATACATTCATACACTCATGCACACACACACACACACACACACACACACACACACACATATATATATATATATATATATATATAGTTGTATATTTGGTTAGTAATTCCTCTTTAATACATCCTTTGGTTACTAAGACTAACAAAATACTTCTCTTAAGTTTTTTTTCTTATTTTTTCTGGAAATAATGAACTTCCGAATTTTCCAAATTTTTTTTTTTTTTATTAATAAATTCGTCCATTATTTTAAAACGCTTTTTACAGCTGGAGATGCGTATGACATTTGTGTTTTTCTTTCCAACTTAAAGACCAAAAAAAGAAAACATATGTTCGCGTAAAACTAAAATACCATTAAAAAAAAATTAACAAATTACCTTGCACTCTTAACAAAACTTACATATATGTTAAGAAACAAAAAAATATTGTAAACAAAGAAAGGAGAGATGAACTGCTATGTGATATCAACCCCTTCCTGTATGACAGTGAAAAATGAACCATTTCTTTATAGTAGAAGAAATTTCAGACAATAGAAATATAGTTCTACAGAAGGATACTGAGAATAGCATGAATATGTGTATAATTGGAGCACTTTAAGAAAAATGGCAACAAAAGGAATAATTACAATTAGAATCAGAAATGGGGAAGTGAAATTTATGAGATACATGATGAGGGGGAAAACAGCTTGGATGATATGACACGAACAGGATTGAGTGAAAGTAAAAGTGATAAAATGAATCTGAGAGTGACCTAACTAACGAGCCTGTGTAAAAGAATGGCAGGACAGAGACTGGGAGGGAGTGTAAGTGGACAAACATTGCTTAGAGCCATGAATTTTACGAAATTGTGGAGAGCCTATACAAGTAACTACATTCTAATTTTATGGGTCTTTTCCAGTAATTTTTACTAATATATAACGCGATACACATATATATTTATTCGCAAAACCTATATGTACCCCCTCCACACAGACGTGTACATGTATGTATATATATATATATATGTGAGCGCACGCGCGTCCACGGAAAGGTTTATCAGTTAGTTACTCTATGATAGTCGGTCATTTTGCACCGACTTCCCCAGAGAGTGGGCAGGGCCAAGACGGACACACAGACACAATTTATTGCTTTATTTCAAAGTTTCTTTCCATATGTGGTCTTAGGTGCCTGCTAGCCGCACGGACACACAGACATAAAAGAAATTCAATAGGACACACAGACATAAAAGAAATTCAATAGGACACACAGACATAAAAGAAATTCAATAGGACACACAGACATAAAAGAAATTCAAGAGGACAAGTGTCTATGAATTATAATGTCTACCTATCAAGGTCGACACACAATAGATATATATACATTTAAGTACACAACCTAAGTAAAACTCAAATTCCATTGTTTCAGGGGTCGTTAATTCGAGGTTTTAGTGTATATATCTATATCTCTATCTATCTATCTATTTATATATATATATATATATATATATATATATGTGTGTGTGTGTGTGTGTGTGTTTGTATTTTCTGACTAAGTGCGTGCATGTGTGAACAGTTATTAATCACAGAAAGTTATTCTTCCCAATTATAACACAAACTCATCAAAACTTCACACCAATCTTTCCATTTTCTTGAAATCCTCGGCACGGGAATTGAAACATTTTCACAAGGCATACATAGCAGGAAATAAAACCTTGATAAACCAATGACAACCTCGCTTCTGTATATAAACACGTACACAAAATAACCCCTTACCTAGATAAAGTCCCTCAAACGACGAAACGCGTCGGCGAAGAATATATATATATGTGTGTGTGTGTGTGTGTGTGTGTGTGTGTGTGTGTGTGTCTTTTGAACAATAAAGAATATTTTTAAAAATCTTCAGACACAATGGGTTGTATATTAATATATTAATATTCTTTCGTTTTTTTATTTCAGTTATATTCCTCAACGGGTTTCGGCCAACATGACCATCATCAGGAAAAAAAATTCTGCTTGTTAGTAGCAGTGAACTACAGACTAGTTATTTCATTTTATTAGTGAACTACAGACTAGTTATTTTTTTTATATTTTTATTAAAAAAAAAAACATGTTGAAAATCGTTACACGATTAAAATCGTGTTTCAACACCACAAATGTGCCTCCCCGGGCGATGTCAAATCACTGGCGAGCGAACAGTGGAATTATACTAGATTTGTTCTCATATATATATATATATATATATATATATACATCCAACGAATAAATTTTTAAATCTGTAAAATAAGTATAGCATAACGCGTTCGTGCGTAATTTTAAAATCACTATGACAGAGGGATGCAGATTTTATTTCAGTACAATAAGTTTTTTCTTTATTATTTACACTTGAAGATGATTGTAGAAAAGGTCGAAAGTACGTGAATAAAAAAATTGCTTCACCTTCTTTGATGAATTCCATCTCAACATCAAGAAACTGATAAGAGGACTGGAAAGGATCAGTACAAAAATAAGTAAACACAATATATCTATATTATTCAATGAAACATATTTGAATGAAGATATGCTGCCAATATATATATATATATATATATATATATATATATATATATATATATATATATATAT